CCAAGTGGGATATGCCTTCTGACTGGTAATTATATGCTGTGGACTCTCAGGTCCTCGGATGCTGAGGTCTTGTGTGAGAAAAACGGAGCACGTCAGTGAGGCCCCCATTCAGGGCTTCGTCAGACTCGCAAGAATCTCCAGAATGGGGAGTAAGCACGAGTTGCAGATGCCACGGTGTCTGGATGGAAGCTGTAGCATACTACAGAAGTAAGCAGGCTTTCACATGCCTTGCTACAAGATGCAGTCGTAGACCCAACGTGCTTAAGAAATTTCAGGCAATCCTTTCAGGAGATGAATATCTCGGCCCAGACGAAGAGGCATGTGTATATCCGAATATTTGCACATATTTGCATGAACTGGGATATGCTTGCACTTCTAGGGAGGATTGCGGCACATGCATACTATCTCAGACCCATCATATATGCAACGTTCGGGTGGCCTTCCACTGATATGCTACCAGATTGTCGGATCAACCGGTTGTCATGAGGCGCGTCAACGTTTGAGAAAATAGGGGAGTGGTGGAGTGATATTCCCTAGATGTATTTTGTAGACTCTCGGCAGACTTTCCTCGGTTCCGTGAAATCTTGGCAACGCACACGAAACTTTACTCCACCAATTACCTCAGCCCGGTCAGGGTTGTACCCATAAATCCATGTTTTCAAGATTTTTACACTCTTCTGCAGCCTTCCTTTTCCCGTACAACGCCCTTAGTGAGTCAGCGTCTAGCTTCCAGGTCGACCAGCAGATACAGACTGAGCTAGGGCGAGCCGCTGAGCAAGGCATGGTGTCTACAAGAAGTCAAGACAACACGCCGGCTAGTGGTGCTTCACAACCCCCGAAATTACTGTACCCGCAGGTTGTAGTGCATGAAAAAAAGAGGAATTGTGGTAAAGACGGAGAAGAATGCCCAGCGCAGGCCGTGGCGAAGAGGAGGCGTAGTTCAGCGAAATCGATTGTCGACGCAGCATCTTCCTCCAGCGCTAGCAAGCCAGGCAGGCCCCGCAGAAGGGCTTCTGCAAAATCTGCAATTGGCGACGTGGCCCACGCAACGGATCTCAACGAGTCAAGTCTGGAGCCTTCAACGCAGGGCAGCCGTCCGAATTCTCCACAGACGCCCGGAATTACTACTCAACAGACCATCGATGACGGCAAGGAGGAAAAAGCCGTTGAGGTGGCCATCGAAAAGCCCAATGATGCACTGAGACTAAATGACGAGATGTCGGAGACACACGACCAGGTGAACCCATACTCTGGTAGCTCAACGAGACCGAGAAAGGGCAAAATAGAGAAGAAGAGAGCAAAAGCTTCGGACGAAATTGCTGGTGTGGGCAGGAATGGAACGGATATAAACACCCTTGGAAAGAAGCCAGAAACATCCTCCACAGCTGCTGAGGCCACCCACAAAAGGTTCGGCAGCGACGATATCGACGTACTGGGGACGGTTCCTTCAACCGGCATCGAAGAACGAGAACGGATTCAGGGGGACCTACCAGAGGATGAAGGCGAAAGCGAGGACGAGGCGCCGGAGACAGTCACGGCATCAGCTGGCTTTGATAAGGCACGCACATCGGCACTGGGCGCGGCTAAGGTTGCTGCAAGGTACATTCTCTCGAGACTACGTCTATGTAGTAGTAGATGGAAGGAAGCTAACTGTAAATAGGCAAGAAGCAGATAAGAAGCTCAAACGCAGAGAGCATGACCAGAAACTGAGGCTACAAGCGAAGTCAGCAAAGGATTTTCGATCCAAAGACCAGCCGTCAATTAAAGTTCGGGGAACGAAGAGGTCTTTGGCTGAAGTCAGCAAAGAGGATGGTCAGACGTCATTCGAAAAGCCCGAGTCTTTGGGTGAGTTGCCACAAAACATCAATGGCGAAGGCCAAATACCCCAGGCAAAGGCAAAATCTTCTGGAAAGACTCCACTACCGCTACTGCTTCCAGAAGAAATCCTTGCAGCAAAACCAGTCGCCTACGCTCCAATACCTCCATCGTTGAATGGCAAGCTCGCCATCAGCCAAAAGCGAAAATTCCTTGATCTCGAACCAAAACCGCCCAAAGACATCAAGCGCGGCAACGTCACCGTTCGTGTCCTACCAGATAGCCGCTCCATTCTCCCTCCCAAATCTTCCCAGGCCAGCAAAGCCCTCCGGGAATCCTGGCTCACTGGTCGACGGGGTTTCAAAGGCGAGCTTGCAGTCCCGCGCCGGAAACCCAGTGGTGGTTTTGTACGAAAAACATGATGGACGTCGTGCTTTGGCTCTATCAGCAACCTCATCTACGCGGTCAAGCCATGGTTGCTCCAATACAGTGTAGAGTACTCGGCATGGTTATGATCTAGCTACGAGCGCCATCAGTGGCCTTTCAGGGTAGCTCCAGGGATGGAAGGCTGTTCGAATGCACGATTGTCGGAATAAGCGTGGAGTGAGGAGTACTGAGACTAGCTATGAGCATAGATACATTGTTCTTCCTAACAACAAATAATCCGAAATTCCAAAGTGTGAAAGTCAGCAGAGTACTGGAAAACCTGGGAACGAAGGACCCAATAAGGATTAGTCTCAGGGCCACGCTTGTCCTTAAAGTAGGAGAATGCAGGGATAATTTCATTGCCTTTTTGCCAAATATAAAGTAATTCCCCCATTCGCCATGATACAACAACAAGAAGAACAACAACAACAACACACTTGTCATTACATGTCAAGACTCACGATTCCGGATTCGTGATACTCTACATGTGAACCGCATTAAGAACATCTGCCTCATACCTGCAATGGCTTCCACTTCTACAGAAACATCACCGCTCCTACCACCGCCAACGCCCTCGAGCTCCACTTCTCCCAAACCACAAAGGACCGTCACCTTTAGTCCACACACCACCATAAACGACCCAAATAGTCCTACAGATTCTACCTCACCTCTGCGCCCAGCCCCTCAATCCTCTCCGAGTTTCCCTGCTATTGGACATTCGTCTGCCGGCCCGCCAAAGCTCTCAGCACTGAACAGCAAGCTCCGAAGGAGGAACAGTCATGGCTCTCCGCTTTCTCAGCCGCCCATGCTACCTCCAGCTTCCAAAATCGGACCTCAGAGGACGACAAAAAATGCGCAGAAGCTAAAACTCTTACCGAATCCAGATCCTGGAGAGGATGGACCGGACGAAGAAAGTGGAAGGGATGTCTATTCGCAGTTTACGAGGATAAAAGACCCAACCGCAAGAAGAGATGCAGCGAGGCTGGGGAAAGCAGACAGAGACAAGCTCCCTCGGGTCACGGCCTACTGCACAGCGAGTTCGTACCGACTAGACGGCCTCATGAAATACCTCAAAGCCAAGGGTCGGACACGGGGCGCCAACCCGAAATTGTTCGACGAATGCATATATTCCCCTTTCAGTTACGGTCGCCCCAAAGGCAATAGCAGACCCTCCAACGCCAGTGACACAGACAGCCCCGACCTCGATGAGCACGAGCTCCCCCAAAATCGAGAGCGCAGGTACTCCGACTCCGCCCTCGAAGTCGATGAAAACGCCCACACCCGCCGGGAAGACCTCATCGATCTCTCCACCTCCGCCGGCGATACCACGCTCGAGAACGGCGAATCTTCGATTCCCAACCATACTGCTCTCGAAATGGATCAGTCTTCTCCTCCCGCCGTCTCAACCCTGGACTTTGACACCAAAGTTCACACGCCGGAAGTGTTTCTTTTCGAATACGGCACCGTGGTGATCTGGGGCATGACATTACAACAAGAACAGCGTTTCCTAAAGGAAATCTCAAAATTTGAAGCCGAGAAACTTAGCGAGGACGATGTGCAGACAGAGAATTTCAATTTCTATTATACCCGTGAATACCAGGCTCGAATTTACAACGATTTTATATCCCTCCGCGAGAAGAAGAACTACATGATCAAAATCGCCATCTCCCACGCATTAGCCCAAAGCGTCAAAACCTCTCTGTTCGAAGACCTACTGACAACTACCATCACCATGACCTCTCCCCTACCCGCCGAGATTGCCTTGACCGGCTCCATATCTCTCTCCCGCCGGCAGATCCATCAACAAATCGGACAACTTTTCATATTACGCATCAACATACATCTCCAAGGTTCCGTACTCGACAGTCCGGAGCTCATGTGGGCGGAACCAAGTTTAGAACCCGTGTATGCGGCAGTGAGGAGTTATCTAGAAATGGACCAGAGGGTGGGATTGTTAACGGAGAGGTTGAGCGTTATTGGGGATTTGCTTGCCGTGTTGAAGGATCAGGTAGGGACGAAGCATGGGGAGTATTTGGAATGGATCGGTAAGTCACAATTCCGCCCAGTCTTTTGTTTGGCTTTTGGAGCTGGGCTTTGATACAAGTGTACGGTGCTAAATCCGAGGTTCAGTCATCGTCCTCATCGCGGCCGAGATCCTGGTTGCGGCAATCAATATCGTTGTGGACTTGTACGCTGGCGTCGACTAAATCGCTGCTCCCAGTGTACCTGGAAATGGGCGTACGGAGAGTTGTCCTACGGGAAGGCGTTCCCCGGGCCGTTTGTGGCGTGGACAGGGCAGGGAGAGTACCTACTTACCTAGATATCGGGGCAGCCCAACAGAACACACGCGATGCGTTCTGGTGAGGGCAAAGTGTCTAGATGTTGTACACAGATTGGCTGAAGATCACCAAACATGTATATACGTGAAAGCCTGATCCTGTGCAACCTACCCGAGGACAAATGAATCCTCACACTATGCATACGTATGAAAATCAACAATGCGTGGAAGAATGATTGATGCATGTTTTCATTGTTCTGATCTAACCGAGAGTCTATAAGCTCAAATGCAGCAATGGGCTGCGGGCCGTAGCCCCGAATGAGCACATTGCTTGCTGACAGTAGTAGTACGTGAAATCGTACTCGGTGGGTATAGAAATCATGAAACCCGAAAGAATGATGCCGTTGATGTGAATATGTCATGATTGAATTGCAGTTCGTCGATTAGTAGATGAAACCGAAAGAACGCCGTCGGAGCCTCCTCAAGCATTGATGCTCGTGAATCCCCCCAGGGCGCCAGCCCCTGCTGCAGGTGGTGGCGGTGGTGGCGGCGGCAACTCTCTCTCCACTTCCCTCTCTTCGTAGCGTCCAGCTCTGCCTCTCTGCTCGTAGCCACGCTCACGCTCACGCTCGTACCTCTCACGCTCCTCTAGCTCGTTCACGCTGTCCATGTATTCTTGGAAGCGATGCCCGTATCTCTCCTCGTAGACACGTCGGTATTCAACCTTGGCCGGATCATCCCATGCACCGCGGGCGTATTGGAGCAGCTCCTCTTGGTCACGAGCTGGGTATTCGTTAGGACGCGCCTGGACATAGTTCTCGAGGAAATCTTCGAAGGCGTTTAGAGGCGGAGCGGCACGTGGTAGGAGTTGCTGCTGTTGTTGGTCACGGCCGATGTTGGATGCGTATGGTGATTGGTGAGACTGGTAGTGCATGCCAGGATGACCGTTTGTAGTTGGGGCTTGCTGGTATGAGGACTCGCGGAATGGATGGTTACCCGGAGCGTCGAACGCGGAGGTTGGGTGGCCTTGCGATGGGGCGATTGGACGAGGAAATTGCGGTCCCAAGATGGGTGGCGGTGAGCTGACAGGGCGACGGTGGCTTCGCTTGGAGCGGAGAGGCTTCTCGTTTGGCTGCGAGAGAAGAGTCAGTGACATGGTTTTCTGCGTTGATAAATGCGTGGACTAGTAATTTGCCTTGGACAATCATACCGTTGGAGGCCCCTCACTGCTACCTTCGCTCTCTTCATCATAGGCTACAGGAAAGCCATCAATACTGCTACCGTTTTTCTTCTGGCGCTTTGCCAATGCCTCAAGCAAATATGAGCGTTCAAGGCGCATTTTGCGGATACCCTGATGGAGACGGGCAATGCGAAGGCGTTTAGCGTCATTATCTTCATCAACCTCGATCAGGCGACGCTTTAGCTCGATGCATTTCTTTTTGTACGCTGCCTCCACCGAGGGAGGGAGAGGGGGTGGGACGTTTCCCGCAGCCACTGTTGAAGGCGATACTGTGTTAGCGGTCTGTTTCAACAACTGCTGCTGACGCAGAATCCTTCCGATAGCCGCGGGAAGCCCGGCGCGCAACAGCTCGAGCTTCTCCCTCACGTATGCCCGATCCATGTGAAATGAGTCCTGCGAAGTGGTGGCATAGGAAGTGGCCTCAAGCTGCGTGATGCGATACGTGTGTGCCATCGTCATCGCAGCGTGGTGACCCACTAGCGTCATTTGCCCCATAATGGTGAAGCTGCAGAGGGTTGGAGGGAAGTAGAAGATGACTTACTGGTTGCAATTTGGCTAATCTTCCACAGTCACAATTCTCCTTGTATGCTGTGAATGTAAAGGCGATTGAGCAGTGGGAGATTCATTTAGTCTTGAAGAATTCTGTAGCTATGCAGGGATTGTGAGAGGCATCTTGTCCTGGGTTGAGTCGTGGACTAGCTGGGTGGTGTGCATTTGTAGAGAGATTCCGTGTCGATGTGAGCTCCACAAAATAGACGAGATAACCGCGCTTTCATATTGAGATACGCTATTCTTGAAAACGTTACGTCTGCGTCGAAATACCAATAGAAAATCTCTCCGGAAGTCAATATATCTATCGTCTATCTTCCCACTGGGGCCAAAGCTTTTGCACTGCAAGAGAGCTTGCTAGCCCGATGGACGTTTGATCCGGAAAGCAATCCAAAACCTGACAGTTGTGTCTAGTCAAACCTCATGGCCCTCTCGTGTTTATCAGAGTTTGTGGCTAAAATCCTTCAAACTGCGTAAACTAGAATCTTGTCCCATTGACTCCCTGCATGCCCTTGCCCAACTGACTCGCCACCACCGTAGCCTCCCTCACACTCCGAGCCACTGTTCCTCTAAGACTCCCCTCCTCCAGTACAAGCAGTCCTCCAATAGTACACCCTCCAGGAGTGCTGACCTTCTCCCTCACCATAGCCGGATGCTCACCGTTGAGCACCAGCCCAGCAGTCCCTCTCATCGTCTGCGCAGCCATCAACTGCGCTTCTGCTCTTGGCAAGCCCATAGCTACAGCTCCATCTGCCATTGCCTCAAGTACCAGCGCGAAGAATGCTGGTCCAGAGCCACAGAGAGCTGTGCTAGCATCCATGGACGCCGGTGGAAGGTGAACAACCCTGCCTATGCGAGTGAACATCCAAGAGACTAGTGCATCGAGGGACTGCGGTAGCGGAGGATTGGAATTTGCGATGACTGTCATAGATTCGCGTACAAGGGAAGCGGTGTTTGGCATGACTCGCACAATCCTACAGCGGCCGTCCACGGCGGGGTCCGCTGGTAATGTCTCGCTGCTACCTCTGCCGTATATCGTGTCCTCAATCTGAGAGACGGGCACACCAGCCAGGATGCTGATCAGAAGTTTTCCTCCCAAGGCTTCCCGCATGCCTTCCTCTTGTAGCACGGCAGAGAGATTGTAGGGTTTGCAGGCGAGCAGCACGACATCTGCTTCTTGAACGCCCTTGAGATTGTCATTCTGTAGGATCGTCAGGGCAGATGTCAAGTGTGAAAGCTCTGCATTGATTCGTTTTGCAGATGCAGGGCGTGTCACGCAGGCGATGAAACGGGAGGGTGTACGAGGAGGGGGCTCTTCGGATGGTGTGGTGGTACCATTGGTTGAACGCGCAAGATTTTGCTCAGACAAGGAAGAGAGTATGCCCGAGAGGATGGCGATACCGAGAGTACCTTGAGAGCATGGATGTCAGCTCTGGTAGCTGGAAAAGGCTTTGCGCGAATACATACGCACCGCATCCCAGGACTGTCAGAGTGCCATCGTTGCCTTTCTTTTCTCCAGGTGCTAAATAAACACCCTGTGCCTCGTTGGGTGACATGTTGAACAGTTGTCTGCTCTTTCAGCAGGGGGATTTCGGAAGTAAAAGGTTGTGCGAGTAGGCCAGGCGCTCCGCGCGGCTGCTGTTTTCAGTTTGGGGCACCATTCACCAACATTAAAACATCATCACTACGCGAATTAAAGTTTGGTATTGCTTGCCCTATTCATCAGACTACAACTAAGTGCGGAGACGTAACTTCTCTGTTTAGACTGCAGTCAACACATGGGGGGTCAAGACGCTTCGCGACAACCCTGAGCTTTGCAGTAACGATCGAAATGCTGGCTAAATTCATGCAGGTCCAAACAGCTTAGACAAACGCCGAGTCAGTTCAAAGAGCAGCCTCAGAACCCGTCGTGCATGGCCATAAGCTGCATGGGAGCGCAGTAGACAGAATAGCTCCAATTCGTGGAAGAGCGCCGTCTCGCAAGCCCTCCGGATTGCCTGCTCCATATCAGCTTTTTTTCTTCCCTCCACTCCACTTCTCGTGATGAACATCTAGAATCTTGTTATAGAAGCCGAACTTGCCGTCCTCGGTGTAAAGCTTCATTGCGTACCCAAGGTCCTGATTTCCTTGATCCGCCAAAGTGGCCGACAGCCAGGACGATAGCCCTTTGCTTCGTTCCGCCTCTTGTACTGTACCGATGTACCTTGTTCGCTCCTCGATCATGGACCTAGTGTCCGCACCTTTAGCTATGCCATTCTCATCATAATTCTCCGGAGCATCCATCGGCGCCGGCAATAGCGACAATGTTATTGGGAAATAAATACATTCCCAAGGTACTGAGCACGCATGTTCCCAGTCGATGACACCGAGTACATTGTAGTCATCATCCACGACAATGTTGTTGTGGCCAAAATCTTTGTGGAAAAGAGGGAATGGACCGTGATCTCGCATAGGGATATTCGCAGCGAGTTCCTCAAGCTTATGAGGGAACTCCGCGATCTGAGACATCACATCGTCGTAGTACTCCCCACAGGCTTCTTTGGCCTGCGAAAAGTCAGGAAACTCGGCAGCCTTTGCCCAGGCCTTTAGGTACTCTGTTGCTGTACTGAATGGTCCACCGATTCCGGGGAGAGGGCCAACGTCGTAAGTGCCGTCTGCTAGCCGAATAATAGCCCCAATCTTGGGGAACATAATGGATGACGTCTCCGTCTGAATTCCCGTTAAAGCTAGCAATGGAAGAGGGCGAATAAAGATCAACCTACCTGAAGAATTGCCATTTCCGCATAGAACGAGGACTTGTGTTGGGAGGGGACACCCTGATCGATGTCACCATTCAGGTCCGGTCCAATATTGCCAAATAGACAGTCCATCAGTATGAAAGGCGCGCCAATCTCGTTTCGAGTGCTCGCCATGTAGCCAAAGACCGTTGGCACAGGTACAGTAGTCCTTTCTCTCACTAACTGGAGGCAATCGACTTCTCTTTGAACCAGCCCACTTTGTTCATCTTCGCTCATACGGGTGGTCATTCGGAGCCTGGCAATCCAACGTGAACCATCTTGGAAGTTGATAATGCGGATCAGGTGGCGTCCCCCAATAGTCCACTGTGGATCCACCGCACAATCCTTGCCATCGTTGAGCTCTGAAGCAAATCTGCACAGAGCATTCCAATTGATGTTATCAAAGAAAGACTGGACCCAGCGCCGATAAGCGCTATGCTCAGGATATGCATCTGACAAAGCTTCCCACTTGTACCCTTCGAACTTGTAACTGTCTGTCATGATGATATTCCCCTGATATGAAGCTGGTAGGGTTGACGACGATGAGCCAAGTTGAGAGATGAACCCGCCACCACGAATGCTCTAGTAAACCTCTGGGCTAAAGCAGTACGAAGCCTCATTACTCACAGCTCTCTGCAAAGAGAAAGTATTCGGAGAAGAAAGAAAGTTGACTAGGTGATTTTGGTGGCCCATGTTTGGATCACTCGCTAATGTGGGTAAGCGCGTGGGGCTCCCGCCGCCGCTAGCATTTCTCGCGAATGGCCTCACGGCCCTAAGGTACTTTACTTAATAATTATTTTCGGTCACCTCCTGTCCAAAGCATTCCTGGCTTTGATTGGATTCCAATGCTTGATCGTCCATTACGGCTCCCAATTTATCAATCCAGACGAGGATTTGGCTACTTGCCAACCGTCTGCCAGACAAGACTGCCATATTGCTCAATCATTTACCCATCTTCAACGAAATTCGCACTATATCTCAGCTTGAATGTTTCAATGAAGCCAGTATGTAGGCCAAATCGAAGTGTGTGGTTCTAGAAGGTCACGGCCCCCATGGCAATAACACTTCTTCACTACCTTCAAGCGAGAATGCGGTCACTTGTCCAATGACGCACTCGAGCTACGAATTTCCATTTACAACTCGTATAGCGTGAGTCATAGTAAGAATGCAGAGTCCTTTCCCAACCCCGACACACTGGGTTCGCACGGTCATTGGCTTGGTGCCCGTGCCCTTATCTACTCGTCCGTTATGCAATAAACCCCATCACATGAGTCATGATGAGGCAAGATCGTTGCACAGTGAGTGGTCAAAAGACTGGTCCCGAGCTGCTAGTGGCCCAATGCCTATGCTACCGAAGACAACTACCGAGGAACAGCGCGGCCATATTGCCCGATTGCCGAATTGAGTTAAGAAGCGAAGGACTTGTGTTAAGAAGCCGTTGGTCAAACGTCTACGGACGGGGTTCAGTTGATGGCAGTCTGGTTGCAAAAAGATGTATCCCTCAAAGTGAGCGTTCTCCGCTTTCTGGCGCTTTCCCAACGACCTGGTGTGTATAAGAATTCTCCTTTCTCCTTTTCCTTTTACTTATCTTTCCACCACAGGCCCGCAAAGCTTCGAAAATTCCTTCAAACTCAGACAAGACTACAACGGATTTGCCATCTCCACCCATCGCTACCCTTCGCTTGGTCCAAATCCGATTCCCGGTCTACTCCAGGTTCAGCAGTGCCTACTATCTAGAAAAGTCCAGACACTATCACCTCCATCAGCTTCACGCATCAATTCCAGACGGAGACTACGCTTACGAGTCAGATTCCGGTTCAATCGCGTAAGTCAGGACAAACCTGCTTGCTCTGTGTTGGCAGCACTCTACTAAAAATTACCGTGATTGAGGATCATGACCGCCATCAACCACATCCAAGAGCTCGTGAATACCGCTGTCGCCTTCTTTCGCGGGCCAGTGGATCAAACAACGCCTCAGCAACCTCCACCTCAGGCGCCACTAGCCAGCTTGTATGGGAGGTTGTAATAGGGTCGGTTGTGGACGGCTCGGCGTCAAACGCGGAACAAATTGCCCCGCCTGTAATATGTACCGCGCCGAGAGATAGGAAGTTAGGTGAGATGCGCAGGTCGGTTCCACATTGAAAAAGGGCGAAATTCCGAAAAATGTCG